TTACCTTTGTTTTCCCCTGCTGTTAAATAAAACCTGCACTTGGACTCAGACCCCTGTTTACACAGTGTTTTCTGTACCGCGCCGTGACAGTTTTATATATAGATTTTATTTTAGGCAAGTCCTGATGATTTGAGAAGGCTAAATTGATCAAACATAGGCTATAGGCTATGATCAATTCACTGTCTGCCGCTGGCCTTTACTTAAAAAAACAAAATAACTTACATTTAACGAACAAAAAATACTCCAAATGTTTTTCTAAATTTACTTTATAAAAAAAACAAACGAAATATAATCACTTTTCCATTACATGCAAAACTGAACTATTTTAATAGCTGAAACAGTAGTATATGCTTTTTTTGGGAAAAGGGGAAAAAAGGCGGGCTAGGGCCTATATTTGAGACCCGTGCAGGGCTTTAATCCACTTCATCCAACGCTGTTTTGTTCTCATCTGTGAGCATGCTCTTGATATATGTATTTTAGGTGTGTAAATGTATAATTGCCTTTTAATTTTGTAGTTAAAACAACTAAAAATAAATGTATTTTAAAGTTTAGAATTAGACAGCCTTTGCACACAGGCTTACGCTGAAAACAACAAAATGGAACCACAAGGTTGATCTAGGAAAATGTGTGCAAATGTATAGGGCCCCATTCCTATATTTTGCCTGGGGCCCCCAATTCACTAAATCCGCCCCTGGAAACACATTATAAACATCTTGTCAACTTTACAAGACAAAAAGTACAGTATGCAAATCTTGTTTCAGAGGCAGCAAGTTAAATAATTATGATAAATGCAGATGATGACAGAGAAGTCTTTCTGGAACTAATTCTCGATGTGATTTGTCAGCAACTGAGAAAAGCCTGAGAGAAACTCAAACACAAAAATGAAATTCACACACGGATGTGTTTTTAAAGTTCTCATTTGAAAAAAAAACTTTTCCAGATTTCAAGCATCAACAAAATGGTCTGTTTGTGAAAGGTGCTTCTCTCATAGCTGTGCTCGTGTTCTGCTTCTCTGTTGTCACTACAAACCATCTAATAGAGCATGTGAACATTTTTAATAAAAGATTCATTTTTCATTCATTTGCTTTTTTATTTAAATTATATATGTTTGTCAGGGAACTCCATTAATTGCCTGAATGTACAATCACGATAAAGGTAAACTAACTTTGTGGCCCTTCAAACTCAAACTTTTTTTTTTTTGGCATATGATGCGATTTCAATTTTTCCTTTCTCTTTGGAGTGTTACAAGCTCTTGGTGCATAAAGAAGATCTGTAAAGTTGCAAAGACTAAAGTCTCAAATCCAAAAAGATATTCTTTATAAAAGTTAAGTATAAGTCATTATAATCAGTAATTATGTCCCCACTGGATGCAACAAATGCCTCGTTTGTAATGGGTTTTAATGTTTTTGTCCGGCCGGACACTGCATCAACAGTATGTGAGGGGCGTAACATTTCCGTCTCATGCTTGAGGTATTCGGCCAATCACAACGCATTGGATAGCTGGCCAATCAGAGCACACCTCGCTTTTCAGACCGATTAGTTTTGTAAAAATCGACGCGTTTCAAAAAGGCGGGGCATAGAGGAGAAACAATAATGTACAGTATGTGGAAAATAATGTGTTTTTTTTACTTTAAACCACATAAACACATTTCATTACACCAAATACACAAAATAATGTTCTTTTTAGCAGCATCATATGACCCCTTTAAAGTATCTTTTTAGTTGTGAGAGGAAAGAGAATTAAAAGCTTAGATCACCCAAAAATAAAGATGACTGTCAGTTACTCACCCTCATGTCATTCCAAACCAATAAGACTTTCATCTTTAAAACACAAATTAAGAGATTTTAATGATTTCTGTAATTACTGCTTTGTCAGTTCAGAAAGTTCATAATGAGATGGTCAAAAGTCTTATGGATTTGGAGCGACATGACGGTGAGTAAATTGTAATGTATCTAACTGCACTCTCAGAAATTACTTGTAAACAAACAGCTTCATAATGTGTTTCTACAGTGTATATGTACTGTGATGGTTCCCAGCATGCAATGCAGCATGAATAGATCGTGCTGTAGAGTTTTTTTTTAATTCTTGTTGGTTTTATTTGTGCAGTTGAACTTGTTTTTGGTTCACTGTAATTATAAGGTGCTGCATTGAGAGACTGTATTAGAAACTCTACTGTATTAAAATAAACTTGTTTCTGGTCATTCATTTGGATTTTGTTGTAGTTCACTGTAAAGTCTGTGTTATATTGTCAATAGTGATAGTAGCAGTCTAGCAGATGGGAATCTGTAAAGAGTAACCAGCAGCCTTTTTATTACACTTATATCCTGGTTTTGGATAGGTTTTATTTGTGTAACTTTTTTGAAATAGTTACATTTTTAACTTATAGCCAGATTATTATTGCTTTCCTTGCTTCTCACATTACTAAAGAAAATAATTACATTCTTGACACTATTAAAATATTCCTCTCGTATCCTGTAGAGGAGCAAGTGATGAGGAAGTTGACAGAGCGCCATAAGTTTGATATTTTACAGAGAGCTGCCTTTATATATTCAGTTAAACAACACTCAGAGTACACCTGTCAGGAAAATACATTCATGGGTTATAACTTTAAATAATAAAGAATGAAATTCAATATTAAGAGACTCAAACTCCTCCTTGTCAGGTGACACATGAAAGTGAAACTATTGCAGCAGGATCTGTTTTGTCAAATGAGGAAGTAAACTACATTAAGTGAAAAACACAGTGAGTATCACGATATTAAAATCATCTTTGATAGCCAAAATCAATCCAGACTGGTTTAAAGTGAAGTACAACAATACGCACCATCAGATATTTTGAAAGCAGTTAAAATGACATTAAGAGACACAGAGTCTGTAAATCATCAGATTCCACTTTTACTTTCATTTTAACACAGTGCTTGTCTGAATTTGTTACGCAGTTTGTGAATAATTTGATTCTGTGTAAATAATTGTCAAGATGAAATTGTGTTTCATGTGTGCAGGTCATTGTTGTGGACTGACTTGAGACAGAGGTGGATTTGAGAAAATTAATTGCTGAGATGATTAATAACTCACTCTGTGGATCAACATCTGGATCTGCTTTTAGATGAAACCATGGCCTTCAGAATGAATCTCTCTGAAGAACATGACACACAGATAAAGACAGTCAAGAGGTGAGAGAACTTGAAATGTTTCACATTTTTAATGTTCAGAAATAATAAATGCATACTACAATAACATTATATTTTATAGTCTGATTCAGGAGGGTGAGTCAGATTTAGCTGAACACATCGATGTGTCTGTGAGGAAAAACCAACCGATGGATCTTTCAGATCTCTGCAGAGAGGAAGACTCTTCTGTTGAGCGCAGGTGAGATATTATGAGTGTCATATATACTGTAGATGTGCTGCATTATGGACATTCACCAGGTGTCCCTGTTGCTGCTGGATGTTTCTGTTTCTGTCTGTATCTATATGTGTGGATTGCTCTATTTTATTCTATAACGCATGAATGAAAAGGGCACATGGGGTAGATTCCTTTTATTGATAGAAAAATAATACTTTAATCTTTTAACTCTCAAGTCACAACAGAGTCCTCACTGAAAAAAAAAATCTGTTGCATTAACATAAAAAATATGTACATCGGTTGCACATATTTATGTTCTCTCAACATAATTTATCTGTTTATGTTACCCAACTTACGTTTGTCAAATGAAAATTATTTTTTATGTTGTTTTTTGCTTTTTATGTCACGGTACCTCATGTTGATTTAACATGATTTTTGTTTAAATGAAAGCTTTATCCAGTATATGCAGTGGTGATGCAATAAATTAAACAAAACTATGATGAAATCTATGATAAAACCAGATATTTAGATTAATAACAGATTAAAAAAAGCTTTGGTCAACTATAACATTTTATAACATTTTAGCAACCTTAATATTGTACATTATTAAAACCAGTAAGGCAATAAGCAAAAACATTTCTTAGAAAAAAAAAAATACTGCATATTTTTCAACTGTACACACCAATCCATACAGATTACAAATATACAGAGAAGCATGATACACACATAGCTTATTTGTTTGAAATGCATCTGTTAAAATAAAATCCAAAATTAAAAATCTATAATAATACTTCATCTTCTCCCCAAACAAAACAAAAAAACTTGCTTAAAGTAATACATTGTTACACAAAAGGAACAATGACAGCATAGCTAAAATTAAATTTAAAAAAAATACATTTCTATATTTTTAAGAAAGACTTTCTTTGAAAGTGTGCTGATGTTAAAGCTCCACCATTATACTCCTCAAATGAATACTTCAAGGGACAGTTCACCCAAAAATGTAAATTCTGGTATCATTTACTCACCCTCAAGTTGTTCCAAACCTGTACAAATGTCTTTGTTCTGCTGAACACAAAGGAAGATATGAGGCCAAGCAGTTTTGGGGCACCATTGATTTCCATATAGTAGGAAAAAATACTATGGAAGTCAATGCTGCCCCAAAACTGTTCGGTTATAAGCATTCTTCAAAATACCTTCCTTTGTGTTCAGCAGAACAAATACATTTATACAGGTTTGGAACAACTTGAGGGTGAGTAAATGATACCAGAATTGTCATTTTTGGGTGAACTATCCCTTTCATCAGTTAAGTGGGCGGTTGAGTTTCGCAGTAGCTAATGCCAAGTTATCCAAATAACTGTAAGATTATCTGGCCCTTATTGACGATCCTGATGTCCCCTGGTCCGTCATGGGCATTGTCTCCTCAATGGATCCTGGGATGAGGGCTTCATCTGCAGCCTGGAGAATGCAGAGTAAAAAATAGATTCAATACTACTCTGGAAATATCAATAATTTAATAATATCTGTATCCTGAGAAATGTAAACTTGAATATAATGAGAACCAGTTATGGTCAACAGAGACTGATTACAGACAGCGGACCGACAATGGTAACGTCCGGTTCAGTTTCTCATGCTGACACAAAATTTAATCTAGTCGACATACAAAGAAAAAGATTACACACATTTCGGAAAACGTTAATATACATGATAATTTTCATGATAATTTTCAGACATATTAAAGCTAGTGTTAACGTTAGCTAAATTGAGCATTAGCACAAACGTTGCTTTTAAAACAATGTTGTTTGATATGACAAGTTCATAAAACCTAAATGAAAATGTGGACATTCAAATGCTGAATGGTTACTCTAAACTGAATTTTAGTTTCATGTTTTAATTACCTCCGTGTAGAGTTCAGATCCCATCCACAGCGAGAGACAAGATGGTGATGAGCTCGAATCGGTTTCCTTCACAAAGGGGCGGGGTTTCTGAAGAACACATAACTACTTTATTTAGCTTCAACATGACTAATTCTATATGATTGACATCCTTACAGAATAAATACATGGTGCATGATTAAAATATGTTTAGATGAGAAACATAAAGACTACTGAGTCCAGATTACCCAGAATGCTCTGAAAGAGACCGTAATGATGATGAGGGTCATAGCAGAGTCAGAGAGGGGCTTCTGAAGATCACACTGCACATCCTGAGGAAGATGAACCAGACAGACCTCGCTAACACACTACAGACCAGTAAGAGCTCTGGATCAGCAGATTATAGCCTGTGTTTTTATTATCAACCTTCTGTCTTCAGTCACTAATGTTCCTGAATGTCACGACACAATCTAATATCTAACATAACAAACCTAAAAATACATTTCTAACATATTGCTCTGCCAATAACAACAATTAT